TTTCTGCTTCCACTCAAAATAGGCATTTTCAAAATGATACAATAAATGATCTGTGGAGTATTTTGAGCTGAAACTTCACAGACACATTCTGGGGACACCAGAGACTTATATTACATATTGTAAAAGGGGCATAATATGGCTCCTTTAAAAATATAACTACTTGAATAATTTTAAAGCATCCCACGGCCCTTCCTGAGGCCACCTAGTGGGACCCGGCCCCCTGGCCGATACCCACTGTCACATACACTTGAGGGTGGACTCTTTTAAAAAACTATTACCTTGAAACCACCAAGAACAGCCTAGCATTCACATAGCACCAAAACAGATGTTTATTACCAGGTACGAGCTGTAATGGTGCAGCTCTATTCTGGAAAAGGGGGTGGGGAGCAACAGCTCATTTGCATTTAAAGAGACAGGCACAAAAAACAGCGTGTTTCTGCTTCCACTCAAAATAGGCATTTTCAAAATGATACAATAAATGATCTGTGGAGTATTTTGAGCTGAAACTTCACAGACACATTCTGGGGACACCAGAGACTTATATTACATATTGTAAAAGGGGCATAATATGGCTCCTTTAAAAATATAACTACTTGAATAATTTTAAAGCATCCCACGGCCCGGCCCTTCCTGAGGCCACCTAGTGGGACCCGGCGCCCTGGCCGATACCCACTGTCACATACACTTGAGGGTGGACTCTTTTAAAAAACTATTACCTTGAAACCACCAAGAACAGCCTAGCATTCACATAGTAACATACTAAAAACCCCTCAGGACTCCACAGCAACACCTTAACATTATGTTAATCTTATTAAGGACGTATCAAACAAATAAATACTGACTAAATAAATACTGATTCAAACTCAATGTGAAGGGCTACTGGAAGATATCATACCCTAGTAAGTATATGGCGCTCCAAAGCTCCATAGTGACAGTCACCTGGTCAATGACGGTGCACTGGCCGTGTGTGTGTGTCAGCGCTGTCCTAAATCTACTCTAATCTCAATCACATGTCCTTACTCAACAACATATATATGGCACGCACACGTAATTTACGAAGGCTGTGAACATGGCTCTACATGGCACACCCAGTAAAACGACCGGACAAAGGTCACATGTAATGGGGTGATGTTTATTTGGTGTAATAAACATTATATTATATACCATCTAATTATTAACCATCATGTGCTTTTGAAAGTAACTGGCCCAGACACCCAAGTATTGTATGTGTTACAATAATAAATGTAATTATGCATTTAGCCAGTCAGTTTCCTTTCAGTTTCTTTTAATACGCTTCTCTGATCTATTTTCAAATATACTCTACCATTCAAAAGTTATTTATTCAAAAACGACACTTTTAATGGATCAAATGAAAGTTAAGACTTTTATACTGTTACAAAAAAAATCTAATACATTTTTAAAAACCTGTTCTTTTGAACTTTCTTTTCATCAATGAATGAAAATTTATAAATGTATAAAAAAAAAGTAAATGTCTCCACAAAAATATTAAGCAGCAAAGCTGTTTTCAAATCAGCCTATTAGGATGATTTGTGAAGCATTATGTGGCACTGAAGACTGGAGTAATGATGCTGAAAAATCAGATTTGCCTTCACATGAACAAATTACATTATAAAATATATTAAAATTATTATTTTAAATTTTATTAATATTTTCCAATATTACTCTTTTTACTGCATTTTTGTATCTGCAGCAGCTTTGCAGGAAATGACTAAAAGTGGTTTGTACATTCTGTTTTGTTAATAAAAGCTCTTTGAATACATTCTGACGCTTGAGACACTTTTACTTTCAAATTGTATTCTAATATGTAACTAGACATCAGGACCCAGGTCTCTGCCGAGTTTGGGGCTTGTGGCTTTAAAGCCCTAGGAGGAGATAAGTTTGGAAAATTGAGTCTCAGAAGAAAATAGAAGAAGAAGAAGAAGTTTAAATAGCATAACAATATGTTGGCTTTGCCAAGCCAACATAATTATGGTTGAATGCAGTAAACAGAGCTGCAATTGACTTTTAAGCATCATTCTATCCATTACTCTTTCAGAGGTGTTGTACAATCTTCACTCTCTTTTATTAACATAGTGTCGCAAAAATTACTGTGGTTACACAATACACAATGTACATAGACCAGGTTTGTAGTTAAATCTGTCTCTTTTTAAACTCGTGGCATTATATGTTGTGCTTCCTGAAGAAAAAATAAATACATAAATAAAAAATATAAATTAAAAAAATTATATATATATATTAATATATATATAGCCTCTAATAATGTTCATTGTCAGAGTCTAATAATGTTCATTGCACATTTAAAGTTTTGCCTAATCCTACAGGCAAATGCACATTTGTTCTCTAAACAGCTCTTAAGTTGACACCGAGTATCTATGGACTGCAATTTTCAGAAAATATTACTGATTTTCAATTCGATTTGAGTTCAGGCTTTTGTATAATACTCAATTTTCCTGATCCATTGCTTTACAGCTTTTGCTGTGTTTTCTGGGTCACTGCCCTGCTGGAAAAGGAATATCCACCCAAAGTTAATATCTCTGGCTGACTGAATCAGGTTTTCTTTACAGATTTGCCTGTATTTGTCCAAGTTGCCCATGATAACAACAGTCTTTTCAGTTTCCTCTACTAGCAAGCAACTCTAAAGCATGATTCTGCCAGTACCGTAGTTGACAGTAGCGTGTTATTTGGTTGTATCTAGTTGGCGCCAAACATATGCAATAGTCTTTCAAGGTAATATGAGCCTCGTCGGATCTCAAAACTTTTAAAATTTTAGCTTGCCACATTCTCCCTCCATGTGTGAAATGCTGGCCTTATCAAACAATGTTTTCTTAGCTACACCCAAATAGGCTGACTCTGAAGTGCTATCAATCAGACTGTCATAACTTCACAAACTTGTATCCACCTAACAAAATCTTAAAGTTATCTGAAATGTTTAATTGAAGGTTTTTAAAGGGATAGTTCACTTTCAGTTGCTGGTCCCCATGACTTCCATAGTATGGAGAGAAAAAAAAACACTATGCAAGTCAATGGGGACCAGCAACTGAAGGTGAATTATCCCTTTAAGACAGAGAACTAAATTTCTTCGATTTCTGAAGAAAAATGTGATTGGTAGTTGGCCTTGCAAAACTCACTGCAACAAAATTCTGCCTCTGTATTAAATGAGAAAATTTAAAGTAATGGCACATCTCTGTTCAAAAAAGCTGCATAATCTGAGGTATAATGCATATTTTTGTGCAAATTAAGTTA